AAAAAATCCCCAGCCGCAGCCGCAGCGCCAAAGTTGAGTCCTTCGGCTGTTTAATTTGTTTTAGATTATTATTTTTTTAAAATAATTTTTTATATTAAAGATATATGTTAATAATATTATTTTAATTTTTAAAAATTTTTTATATCAATATATCAAAATAATTTAAAATATATTAAATTTTAATAAAAAAAATTTAAAGTTTTTAAAAATATAATTTATATCATATTTCTAAACAATACCTTATAATATAATACTAATTACGGTTTAGATGAAAAATAGTTTTATTTAGAAATTTATTAAAATAATATTTATTTTAAAAAGTATTTTTAATATTAATATAAAATATTAAAAAAATTAAAAAAATAAAATCTAAATTTTCAAAAACCATAATTTTAAGCGCCAAATTTTAACCGCCAAACCAAAAACTGTCTTCATCTTGAACTCCATACGAATCCTTTTCTGGTCTTCCATTAGTTGGATAATGTCAGTAAGGCTTCTTGTGTTGAGCAGAAGAAAGAAGATATTGCTAATCCTTTTTTCTAAGCAAGAGCGTAATGATTGAAAAAAATTAGCCTTTTTTTTAATTAAAAAAAAAACAATAATTGGCTGGCTAAATTACTTCGCCACTCGTTAAATTCAATAAAAAATTAATTCAATTTATGTGATAGAATTTAATATTTAATAGTCGAATATAATTACTTTTTTGTTTTTTCTGGGTGGATAGTTGAATTTAGGTTGATAATGATTGAAAAAAATTAGCCTTTTTTTATTAAAAAAATAACATTAATTGGCTGGCTAAACCATAGTTTTTAAACTCGGCCTGGTCCAAGGCCCGGTCCAAAGCCCGGGTTCTGGGTTTTAACCGGGTCGAACGGGTCGGCCAGGTCAATTTTTATTTTTAAAAAAATTTAAAACGACGTCGTTTTAATAAAAAATAAATAAAAGTCAACGGATTACCACCGGGTTTTTGGCCGGGTTTTGCCGGGTCGTCCAGGTTTTCGGGTCAACCCGCCAGGTCAGCCGAGTCATGGCTTACCTTATTTTTTTATCAACCCGGCCCGGTTCCAGCCTCAGGTTGGTTGGGTCCCGGATCAACCCGCCGGGCCTGGCCGGATTTTAAAACTATGGGCTAAACTACTTTGTCACTCGTTAAATTCAATAAAAAATTAATTCAATTTATGTGATAGAATTTAATATTTAATAGTCGAATATAATTACTTTTTTTTTCTGGGTAGGTAGTTGATTTTAAGTTTAATTACAGTAAAATCCAACACGTAAACGGACTAGTTAATTTCATATTCAATCCCATATGCACTCGGTAACCCTTCTGGAAAAGAACTGTAAACTGAGAAGGAATGTATATACTAAACAAATTCGGATTGGAATTTTTCATAAAAAAAAAATCATATAAATACAAACAACTAAGATGAAATTCATATAGAGATAGAGCTTATCAGGTTGCCAAGACGGTCGAGTATTGGATTTTAAATATATCCCTATTATTAAGAAAATAAAGATATCTCAAAAATAAACAAATCCATCTGCGTTCAAGGGATGTGTGTCTATATATACTGTTCCCAAAATCGATAAGAGTCCCTATCGTTGACTTGTTGAGAGTTAATGTCGTCGTCCGGAGAAGAAAATTGTTCGCAGAGTCCTGCAATGCAGTTTCTTGAGGAACCGAACCCACATGAGCAGCCTTCTGTTTCCACTCCATCGTCATCAAACATCCCTTCAAACCCGTCACCACCCCAGGCCCTGATGGCTTCTAACTCATCACCACCACCAGTGCCACAGCCACCTACCATGAATCCACTGTTTCAGGCACTTTCTACCCCTACTCCACGACCACGACCACCACCGCCACAAAGATTTTCTAATTATCAAGATAACGATAGTTATTTCAGTACTTTCCCACCGGGATATAGATTTCGCCCTTTTGATTATGAGCTGGTGTTGCATTACTTGGACAAGAAAGTCAAGGGTCTGCCATTGCCTATGAACAGGATTATTAATGCTGATCTCTATCAATTCGATCCCGAGGATCTTGCAGGTTTTATTTTCACTATAAACCGATTGAAGTATTGATTATATTTATATATACATGTTTTAATTTTGATACTATGATTACAAATATAAATTTTGTCTGTTTATATGAACAGCTCAATATAGTCATCATGGAGAAAACGAATGGTACTTTTTCACACCGAGGAAGAGAAAGTATAAAAACGGAACTAGACCGAATCGAGCCGCAGGTGGTGGATATTGGAAAGCCACTGGAGCTGACAAGGGAATCACGTATCAAAAACCTGTTATTGAAGCTGGTAATACAATCACATATCAGAAAAAGCTTGTTGGACACAGGAAGGCGCTCGTTTATTATGCCGGAAAGCCTCCAAAGGGTGACAAAACCAACTGGATAATGCATGAGTTTAGATTGGACGCTCCCCCTCTTCATGTCAGAAATAATAGAGACGACATGAGGGTACATGGATGCTCTTCTGTCGCCAATTGACATAACAGCATTTGCTTATTCTTAACATGGTTATTAATCAGATTTTTTTTTCTTTGTTTTGGTGCAGCTGGATGACTGCGTTCTGTGCAGGATTTACAAGAAAGGTAAGAAGAGTACGCCTGCTAGTACCAATGTCAGAAATCGACAAAGATATGAGGAAAATCCTTTATTGACAATCGATGCTGATGATGAAGATTACATAAACGATCATGATTGTGATCCAAATCATCTATCTGCTATAGAGGCTAGCTTTGCCGGGGAGATTTACGGCATGGTTACTAATTCTTTAGAGAATTCATTCCCGATACTTGATGAGTTAAGCCAACAACAGACTGGTACAAGCATATTCCCAGATGCTAATAAGTTCTTTATGTTTCAAGATTCACAGATCCCTGGTTTGGAGGAGACATTTGGAACTCCTGCCCCAGTGGACTCCATTAATCCTGAAGACCGGTCATCCGAGCAAATGGGACTCCACGATGAATTTCTGAATCCTATATACTCTTCTCCTTTTAATATCCCTGACCATTTTTTTAACCTCTATTCTATCATGCCAACTAATCTTCCAATGAATCCTTCTCCTCTTGTCAACGTTTGTCCCATGAACACTGCTCCTATTCGCAGCCTTCCTCCCATGAATACTGCCCCTTCCACTGGCGACCTTCCTCCCATAAATACTGATCCACTTACTGCCCCCTTTCCTCCCGCAAATCCTGCAAATAGTCAGCCAACCTCGGAGATAATGAATGCTGCTCCCAATCATCCTGGACAGCCACCTCAGCATCGATGATTATTGTTAGGTTTTCTAGGATCTTAAGAATTTAGTTGATAGACAATCTAACCAATAGTTAATGCATGTTAACTAGTTTTTTTGACAGATTTTCTATTTTTAGAGATTTACCGACATGGTTTAGGTGCATCGTCCAACAAGGTCATAGCCATTTATTGACACGGTATGGTAACATTTTTCTCTCCCTGTGATGAAGTACTTCCATTTGCTGTTCTGGTCTTCCCTACTTACAAGTGTATTTAATTTCACCATGAAAATAAAATTTATCTTTCAGGTACCCTATTTCACAACAAAATCTGGACCAGTTTTAGTGAGATTGCGCTACTCAGATACCGAAGCGTCGGTGGCGCAGTGGTTGTGAATCTAAAGATATATTAATGGAAGAGAAGAGTGAAGAGTTGCTTGGGTGAGAAGATGACTCGGCCCCCTCCTTTAGGGTTGGCCACTTTGTGGTAGTTTTCTTGATAGGTTTTTTTAAGATTATTTTTATATATAAATCAGACCCGGAGCTTTTATCGAATATTTGCGGTAATTTTTATGATATATTTTATTTAATTGCTCTTATATATAAAATCAGACCCGGAGCTTTCATCAAAATTGTTTGTTTTCCATTTGCATGGTGATCAACAAGTAATCATTCTTATCATGCATCATATATTGATGTAGGCGTGTTCGAAGAATTTCATGTGTGGTTCTGAACAGTTAGGGTAGTGGATTGCAGAGTTAACTCTGAGAAAAAACCGGTTCGCGTCATATGAACAGTCTAACAAGAAAAACCCATAACTTCTGGGCTTAGATTTTGCCGCACAATCCTGCACTTTTTGGATTTTTAACTTAATTTTGGTTTTTATAAAGATTGATTTTTGACAGGAGTTTACTATGGATTATTTACAAATAAAGTACGAATTCTTATGTGAAAACTCTAATCAACAACAGTTCTAGTTTTTTGCCTGTTGTCTTCGTCCGCCTGATTGAGGCCGGAGGAATGACACATGACACAGATCGATCCCCTCTCATATGGGTTTTTTGAATGGTCTCGAGCATAGTTTTAAAACTCGGCTCGAATCCAGCGGGTTGCAGTTGATGAAAAAATAAGGTAAACCGTAACTGGACGACCCGGCGGGTCAACCGGGGCTGGAACCGGGCCAGGTTGATGACAAAATAAGGTAAGCCGTGACTGGACGACCCGGCAAAACCCAGTCAAAAACCCGGTGGTAACCCGTTGACTTTTATTTATTTTTTATTAAAACGACGTCGTTTTGAATTTTTTTTAAAAATAAAAATTGACCCGGCCGACCCGTTCGACCCAGTCAAAACCCGGTGACCCGGTCAAAACCCGGAACCCGGATCTTGGACCGGGCCAGCCACCGGGCCGGGTTTAAAAACTATGGTCTCAAGGTTCAGACGAGCGTGCAAGAGTGAGTGATCAAGGTGTGCATGCATGGTTACGTCCCTTTGTCTGTTTGAATCGCAATTGTTTTACGTAATTGTGGAAAACTCCATGGGCGGACTTACAAGCACGGTAATTTTTCAAAAAATTGGATCGATATCCAAACCTCTTCGTGGGCTCCGGCAGCCCGAGCCTAGATGTTGGGACGCACCCAACAGTGTTCCTAAGTGCTACCCAAGAAGTATGTGTGATTCTCTTAAACCTTTATTTTTCTTTTTAGCCTAATATCTCGACACCGGTGTAAGTTTTAGGTACATTTACTTCTTTTCTCATTCATCCAAGTGCAAAGGATATCTTCTCTTATTAATACATGTATAACAAATATTTATTATTTTTTATTAATACTCAATAATATATATCAGTAATATATGTAAGAGATATTTTTTATTTAAAAAATATTTATATATTATAAATATTATTATATTAAAATTACTTCTCCGCCCCTCAACTCAAAAAAAGATATATAAAAAATATTTTCTATTATTAATATATATATATATATATAAAAGATATTTATCTATTGTAAATGTTATTGTTATAAAATTACTTCTCAACCCCTGAACTCAAGAAAGAGATAAAGTTTAAGGGTTATAAATACTAAGTAAACAATTCAAGCTTTTTGTATTAAAAAAATATAGATTCAATGAGAAAACAACCTTGTTCTTAAAATTTAATATCCTTTAATATATTTTTTCTTTTTTTCTCTATAAGATTATTAATTTTATTAAATTATCTTTTTAAATGTATAAAAACCATTTATCAATATAGTTTTCTTTACATTGCAAAAAAAATTACAACCACTGAAACAACCTTAATATTATATGGTATATTTCAGCTTAAAATCTTAATTGTTATGTAAGATGTTCTAGAATGGTTTTATGATATATATCTTGTAATTAAAATGAAATTTTTTTAGTTTAAGATTTATATATAAAACTACTATTATTTTATTTTATGCTCAATTTTTAATTCAATTAAAGAATGAGGTATATAAATTTAATCATTTGACTCTCTCTCTCTCTCTCTATATATATATATATATATTAATGCTATCCATGAACATGTGGAGTTAGATTTTCTTAAATTCTTGTGGTAGTTGAAAAACAAGATAAATCTCATTTAGAAGATATAATGGAATATCATATAGATATTATAAATTTTAGATATAAAAAAATAAAGATAAAACCATCTAATATATATATTAAATCTCAACTATATCCGAGGGACCAAAAAGAACTCATACTTTATGACTCTTAAGTCGATATCTTAACTCCTAGTAAAAAAATGATTTGAGATTTAACTATATTCTCTAGAAGCCATTTTTATAGTTTTGGGCAAGGAAAAGGTAAGGAAATCATCTCCAACTGAAACCTTTAAAGTACAGTTTTGGGCAATCAACATGAGGCCATGAAAAAGGTCTCTTTTGCAGTTGATGAAATAATTACGGGAAACTTTAAATCTGTTATCCATCATAGTCTATACATATTTTCCTTAGCGTTTTTGCCTCGTCTTTATCTATCTAATTTTTTTTTCCTGTGAGTTCATGATATTATCTAGTTTAGCATAGTATGTCTATCCTGTTAGTAAAGGGGAGACAAACAATGTTTTACCTTCACCATATACAAGTAAAAATAATTAATTTCCTACTTAGCGCATGATGAAGGCTTAATTTAAAGCATAAATCATGACATGATTTATAGTATTTTGCTCTCAGCTTGGTATGTGTAGAGTATAAAAAGAAGAAGATAGAGAGAGCTTGAGTGAAAATGAGTTGAGTAGAGAAAAGTTTTATCCTTCTTCTTGTTTGTATTGCTTACTTAATTGATTAAGACAAACAAGTAGCTCCGTAGAGTAGGCAAGTTGCCAAACCACGTAAATTTATGTGTGTTTGATTTATGGAATGACCCAACAACTGGTATCAAAACTTGTTCTTGAAAAAGAAGGTGTTTGATTCAAACCCAGAAATCAAAGTTCTCAAAACATGTTTTTAAACATATTATTATATAGAGGACAACAAGGCAAATCCACTGGTAAAACTCTAATGAAGAACAAACATTCAGCATGCCCTCATGCTCCTTCTTTATTTGAATACCTGTATGAAGAACAAACATTCAGCATGCCCTCACGCGCCAACATCAGGACTACCCATCCCTACCGAGTCGCCGCATGCTCCTTCTTTATTTGAATACCTATAACTGAACCGGGTTGACCCACCACGTCATCAACCAGTCAGCAGCAACAACAACAGTTCTGCATAGTTATCTGCCACATCACCTGACATGTCATTGTCATATCATCAGTACATGTTAGCACCGACATGTCAGCTTGAAATCCATGTGGTTATTCCACATCATCGGCTGTGGGCCTGTATTGCTTACATGTCTACAACTCATTATAGACACATCAACATCTTAAGTTTTGATCTGGTTCACTGCAAACACTATTTTAGCTGACACGCGGCTTTATCTACACCGTTCATTGATCCAAAAGTTTGATTGATTAGATTTAAGTCATTCAAAGTCAGATTTGGGTGATTTCAGAGTTGTTTCCAAAGTTTCTGGCCATTTCGAACAATCTTAAAGCCCGATTTAGCAAATTCTAACTCTAAAGTTAGTGAAAATGAAAGATGAAATAAAAGCTACTAGAATTGAAAATTTTGATGGGACAGATTTTGGATATTGAAAATTACAAATCGAAGCCTATCTATATAGGAAGAAACTTCATCTTCCTTTGTTAGGGAGCAAACTAGAGAATATGCAAGAAGAAGATTGGCTAATTCTTGATAAACAGGTTTTGGGCATTATCCGGCTATCTTTATTAAGAAAAGTTGCTCATGATGTTACAAAACAAAAATCCACTATAAGATTAATGGAAGCCTTGTCTATGATGTATGAGAAGCTTTCAACAAATAATAAAGTGCATTTGATAAAGAAGTTGTTCAACCTAAAGATGACAGAAGGCACCTCTGTTACACATCATCTCAACAACTTCAATACCATCACAAATCAATTGTCATATGTTGAGATTGAGTATGATGATGAGATTTGCACACTTATTTTGCTTCACTTCACTTCCAAGCAGTTGGGAAGGTATGAGAATAGTCATGCGTAACTCAATTGAAAAATCCAAACTAAAATATGATGATATCCGAGGTTTGATTTTGGCTGAAAAAGTATGAAGAAAAAAATTAGGTGAAAGTTCAAGTTCCGGTTTAGCTCTTAACATCAACACTTGAGGGAGGAGACAAGATAGAGGTTTATCCAAAAGCATATCAAAATTAAGATACAGAAGTAAAAGCAAGTCTGGACCCAATAAGTAAGTTGAATGTTGGAATTGTGGCAAACCTGGTTATTACATGAGGAGTTGCAACATTCACAATTGAAGAATATAACAAGATCATGTCCTTTTTGGAAAAAAGAAAATGGTATTAACCAATCCTTTGTAAACATGATAATAATGATTACACAATTCTATCACATTGTTCAACAAAAATTACCATATGAAATATGTTGGATCGTGAATAGTGGTGCGACTGATCTTATTACCAAGT